TAGGAAATCGCGTGCGACCGCGACCGTCTACTATTGTTACGGCGAGTGAACTAACACCACTACGATCTGGAAACACAGGACACGAGGAGTGTGTGAATGGAACAGCTCCCCCGGAAGTGCGCATGGCACTGGACACCGGACGGGTAACTTACACACCGCGACCGGATTCTCGGGATGGATTCCGCGTCATTGGGAATACGGATTGATGAGCGAGGACGTCATCTTTAAGGAGAGGGCATTGTAACGCCGCGCTTCTCTGTGCACGTGTACTTGTATATATACAGTACATATGTGTCCACATAATACCCGGAAGTGGATCGATACCGATTACATATGTGCACCGCATCGATTACGTCTTCAAGGGCGCTATCCCGCATATCCGCATATCCGCATGCATATTCCCTTATCTAATTAGGCCTAAGTGCTGATGTGAGAACTGTGTCATTAACCGTCACTTAGTGTGTATGTTGTATATGTACTCTGTACATGAGTTACTACCGTCTTAATGGAAACTGGGTGTGTTTGTGCAAGTGTTGGCATTTTATGACTTTCCATTTTATCCTGTGTGTAGAATCGTGGATTTTCTCTTATAAGTCTAATGCTTTTCTCAGTTGTAAAGTCAGTAGTGTTTTTCTTAAGTTTTGCTTTGGATGTGAGTTTAGCATAATTCAATCTTTCTTGTTATTTGTTGTGTGAGTAAAGCTACAAAAACACCGTTGTCTTAGTGTACACGGTACACTGAAGATAGGCTAGTTGCACAGAGTAATTATCGATCCATCTTTATTCTCCCATTTCCCTGCGCGGATAAACGTTATCGCGCAGTCAGCAATCACACACAGTATCCACCACGTGTTAAGACTAACAACTGCTTTACATCGGCCAAATGCTGTTTCAGCACACCCAAAACTGTTTGCGCATCGATGTCATGGGGATCGAACATCGCACGGGGAATGCGGAAAGGAAATGCGGTTTGCGGCTAACCGAATGCCGAAAGGATGGCATGTAAAAGACCAGTTGATCCAGGCTATGCGACGGCACCACGACGCCAGATTCGAACATTCATTCACGAGATGGTCAACGTACCTCCACAACGTCCATTCACGCTCATGAACTTGTATGGGGTAATACGACACCACCAAACGATCGATGTAAACTTTGCGAATCTCCAGTATATGGCGAATAAATTTAATAGCATCGCCGACATTTGTGCGACTGCGCAGATAGTAGATGTGCGCAGTGTCCGTGTCCCGTAAGTAAATTGTGCGCGTAGCCGGTGTAATGCACTTGAAGATGCAAACGAATGCGCCGTAAGTTTCAACTGAATTACTGTCAGGAAAGTATTTATGCGGCAGATGTACACGAACATATGGCGAAGCTCCGGCAGGCTAAGAATTTGTTCCCACAATTGGCAGGTCCGCCGGCACCGCTGCCGGTCGATGTTGTCCAATGACTGGAAAACCTCTGTCACAATTTACGGTGATAGTTGCGACATTTTTTCGCTGTTGTATATTGCTTTTTCTTCCCCGCTAAACGTGATTTCACTTATTCCGAAAATGTTTTTTCCTATTAATTCGGCAAGGGTGCAATCGCCGTGGGATGCCAGCACCTTTCCCTGTAACAAAAGAGAGTTCGCCTTGTTTCACCTCTAGGACAATTCGTTTAACTGCAACAAAATCTGTCGCAACAAGCATCGCATATTATAAAAAGTGCGAGGTTTTAATCGGTCAAAAGGCACTTGCGGATCATTATGCACTAACCGACCCCAAAATGTTAACCCGATGATTTGTAACCGGTAAAACCATCCGGACAGGGAAACCGTCCACCGGACGCTTTTGCATGGAAGCCGGCAAAACTGTCCAGCAGACAAAGAAAAAATATTTACACTACACTGATAAACAGAAGAAATACAAGCCCGTCCAACAACTTTTTGACCTCTGTAAGCGGGAATTTAAAGAAAGTGGGCTTGAGCGCGATTTATGCGCGCGATTTATTGTGCGCGATTTATATGCGCTGCGCTTACAGCGGTCAAAGAGTTGTTGGACGGGCTTGTAGAAGAAGAAATATTTACAAGCCTTCGAAAAAAACCCAACAATGCGAAACCCAAGAAAGCCCATCATGAAATCTGAAAAACATAAGACTGTAAGCCGTACCGGCAAGGATGTTGTCAGAAAACAAAGCAGGTTCGGAACTGGGAATTAGCTACATATGTGTTGGTCGGGCAGTAAAAGTGAGGCAAGAGAACCTCCGTGCTGACACCTTCCTACTGCTTTGTTAGGCGTCACCGGCCAATCACATCGTTGCAGATAGGTCACCGTTTCACCAACGACCGAAACAATATGCATCCAGAAGGTATATTGCATTCTGCGCTGTAGTACAACTGCCAACGCAGGCTCAAACGCGGTCCAAAAACAGTTTTCAGGAAGGTTGCACGACTGCAGTGTAAAATGGCCTGGCGAAATGACTCTGCGCTGCCGTTGTTCGCCTGTGAGCGGTAGCCGCATTTGCCTCTGGCGAAGCAGCTCGCGGATGTTATAGTTGGGCAACTTAATCTTCACCAGAGCGCAGTCAGGCAAATACTTGAAGGAAGGCTCGATGACTTTGGCGAGATACCATTTCCACGGTCGATCAGGATGATCGCGGAACAGCACTTCTATTTCGGAATACTTAGCGTACGCAGGCGCACCATTGTCGGATTGGCTCAACCAGTTACATTGGACTTTATGTTTGTAGGAACACTCAAGCACCTTTCCGTAATCAAAGGGCACCGATCGCTGTCCCGGACATTCAAAATCTACTAGCAAACGCTGCGGGCTGCCTTCGACATCTTCCAGCCCGACAATACGACCGTGCTGCAGCATTCCATCAACATCTACGTCCACCGTATTCCATCCGTGTATTCGTAATCGCGGCACATTCTTTTCGTACACATGCATTGTACGATGTATCGACACGAATGGAGTTGATTATAAAACGAGAAAAACTATTGCTATCTTCGCCAGCAAAGAAGCACTTGGCCAAACAAAAAAATCTATAAGAAGGTTCTCATATAAAATTATAGTATAAAAACGTGGCTTCGCGTGAAAAACGTTAAATTTTCCGCGCTGTTTTTTTTGTTTCTAAACACGTAAACCATACGGTGTTTAAAATACAAAATACCCAGGAGTAATGTTGTTAAATAAATTAAAACAGTTCGTTCAAATTACCATCGCTACTCCGCCGTGCAAAGAATTATGAGAGTGACATTGCGTGTTATTGCACATTTACTTGAGGGTAGAGTTTCGATTGGCTTGCGAGGCGGTGTTATTTTTAATTACATGTTGAGTTGGATGCATGATGTTCTCGTGATATACACCTTATCATTTCCACACCGATAGTCTCGTACACAGCACACTGCACTGCACAAAAACGCATTGCTTACTGTTAATGATCAACAGATAACTGACTGATAGAGCGAACTGATTGTGAAGTAATGTAACGTGTGCAACGATTAACCACATCACCATGCGAGCGCGAGCCCCCGCACCACCGGAAAGCGATTTGTGAAATTGGATAAGCTAGTTGAAAAGGGTGACCATGTCACACCTGCGCGCTGTAACTCGACAAGTCACTCCGACGGAAGTTTTCCGGAAACGAAGGGGGTCTTAAATCAGTTTCATCAGGTCTCTGGACATATCTGTAGCTTTAAAGTGAGAACACTGGGAAGTTAGAATTCAAAGCAAAAATTCCGATTATTTCTTTACAACATTAGAAAAACCGCAGGATATCACGCCGCGAGGCATTCAGTATGGTTGTCTTTGTCGACCTTTCTTCACTGGATTCCGCTTGGCCTAACTTATTTTCATAAACGACGCAGGGAGGTAAAAACCGTTGGCCTTCTTGGATACGTCCAGAAAGCGCCACTTAACGGTTTTCCAAATGGGCTGCAGGTAGAAAATATCTTGCGTCCGTCGCCGTACGAAAATTGGGACCAAATCGGTTGAATTTGGCTCCATTCGTAATTCGCTATGTATAAGCCCATCTAATGATCAAATAAACCCAAGGCACACCTTGAGCAAGAGCAAGCGGCGCATTGTACTCGAAAGGACCGAAATAAGAAAACAGCGAACTGGTACAGCACACGCGCCCTTTACTTTGCACGGTGTAACTTTTGCATGGTATAACAAGTACAGCAATCTATTTTGTAATAAGACGTACAGATATCAATGAATCGCAATGCGCTTGTTATCATATGTACGAATGTACCATGGTTGCACTCTATGTAACTTAAGTATTTGTTAAACTCAAGGCAACTTAACAGTTAGATTACCGATACCAGTATACAGTACAACTGTACAGCAGAAACTCTTCATTTATCGTTAGTATTGACTTTTGCATCGTAGCGCACTGATTTTCTTAGCGCATATTGTTAATAATGTAGCATAAAAGCATTATCGGTAACATGACCTTTGAAATTTCGTAGCATGAACGGTTTGTAAATAGTATTTGTACGGTCGTACCGTATTAATATCAACAGTTCAAACTTCAAACTAAGAGGAATGAAATTTTCGTGCAAGCCAAAATTCAAAATAAACAATTTAATACGCATACCGCGTCTGGTGACTATGGTCGATGATCCCTTCTTTAAAACTCTTATGCATGTTTAGGTCAACAAAAAATTACATGGAAAAATGCTTTGAACATGTCATATTATCCTTAATTTTTGTGATGAAGTTATACAGTTAATTAAGATATTGTACGAATTAGGATTTAGGAGGTAAAACGTAAAGAAATCATACCCTTATCGTTTCAGCTAAGACCGGCACGACTGACTTATGTATTAGGCGGTATAGGAAAACTCAAACAGTCATAAAAACTTCCAAATTTATCATTAAAATACGCAGATTCTCTTAGACAGTGTGTGAGATAATACCACTTTCGGACAGATTGCGCATGACTCCAAAACCGCTGCACTCTTCCACTTCCAGTATATTATAGATCCCGTCAATTAGCCCACCGTCAGGCTAGTCAACAGCTTCCCCATCCTTTACTTCCGTCAGTGCTCGCAGTGCTCGCCGACGACGTGCACATGACATGCGATGTCTGCACCACAGACGACAAGCAGCATACAAGCAGACGCGATTCAGTTTCCGAACATCCACATTGCGCAGACCGTCCTGCGTCCACTCGTGTTTTGAGTACTGCGCGGAATGGCGCGGATCACAGCTCTGGAACGCCGTCAGCATCTGCAAAATGTTATCAATGCAGTGCTACTGTACAGTTATTTTATACCAGTATAAAACCAGGAACTTACCCCGATGATCCGCTTACAGCACTGTTTGCAATCCGCCTCTTCCGCTATCCACTCTTCCACACGGTTGGCGTCCAACGGCTCCGCGGGCGCAAGGGATGCCTCAAACATGTTCCAAAACTGGACGGCATCGATATTATCCAGATCGAAATACGCATAGCGAATGCGAAACTCAATTTCGCAATCGTACTTATTGTAGCACAGCGACACGTTGCTCCAGATAATGCGAGGACACCACGGTGACAGGTCCGTGTATGAGCGAGCCACATCAGCACAGTAATCTCCAAAAGTTCGGTTGTTAGCGCCGAAGACTGTCAGGTGGCGGTTATACAGCACCAGCCGAGCAGTGCGAAGTTCCATGCTTTCTAGCACTTTCTGAATGTAGTTGACCACGATTCCGGCGTTAACTGGACGTACCAGTTCTCCACCCACCTTCTCGCAAATAAGGCTTTCCCGTACGGAGATTGTGCGCGTGAGAGGAGAAGTGTGTTTCAACAGGCAAGCGCATGCGCCGTAGCTGGACTTCCATTTAATAGTGTTAGGAAGAAACTCCTTTGGGCGCCTAAACCGTACAAGGGCATCTTGCAAAAATTCCCGTGCGCTCAGAATTTTTTTCCACAGTTGACAGGTGCGACGGCAACGCAGCCGGTCGATAGTGTCCATCATGTGAAAGATCTCTCTAAGAAGCTCTCGTAGTAGCATCAAAGCGAGTTCGCCGGTATTCGGTGATTCTTCAATGATTTTCGAGTATTTCGTTTTTTCGAGAACTTCCTTCCGCTCTGCGTTTTTTTCTGGACAATCTGCAGGGATTTCACACTGCGTGAGAACAAACTGCTGCACAAGCTGTTTATCGACCGAAGCGTAGCGAAGGTCTTCTATGTTCAAGGAAAATAAAAAAAGTGGTGTCTGTGCGTCGGTCACCGCCATTGCGTAACCCATTCGTTGGGCGCCCAGTACGTGTGTTCCCCACATGGCCGTATATATTCACGCCACATGGAAACTGTGGTGTCTGTGCGTCGGTCACCGCCATGGCGCCCAGTACGTGCGTTTCACACATGGCCGTATATACTCACACCACAAAGAAACTGTGGTGTCTGTGCGTCGGTCACCGCCATGGCGCCCAGTACGTGCGTTCCACACATGGCCGTATATACTCACACCACAAAGAAACTGTGGGGTCTGTGCGTCGGTCACCGCCATGGCGGAACTCTATCGTTATGCGGTGTCTGTGAGTCGCCGATCGCTGAACCGCGTTGACCACATGACATTGTATAAGTATGTACAATGTGCAACAATAAGTATGTACAATATAAGTATGTACAACGTTGTGTAAGTATTGTCCATTTAATAATACTGAATATTATTTCCATGGTTTCAGTGCTTTATTTATTGACATTAGTCGTGTAATGTTATATACTGTAAATTAAATTGTTACAAAGGTCACTGTATATCATGCGTAAATAGCCGGCAAACTTGCCGGTAAGCCGATTAGCTCGCTTACCCGAAATTTTTGATGGCCCGCAAACCTGCTCCGAAGGCGCCCGTACCCGGCAACCGCAAAAGGCCCAGAAAGGAGGAAATAACAAACCGTGAGTACTAATTGTCCGTAGCAAGGTGAAAATGCCGTGTCACACTTAAGAAAAATCCACAATATAGATCATAATTGTGCTGCAGGGACGAATAGCGAATCGTCGTCACCTTCACCGTCCCCACCTAGGAAACGTCAGCGGCGGCAGTCTCATGAACAAGCCGAACAGACCCGTGCGCGCAATAGGGCAAATCAAGCTCGAAGAAGAGCCGCAATGACCTCTGCCCAACTCCGAAGCAAACAGAGGAGGGACAGAGAGGCTGCTGCTCGTCGGCGAACACAAAATATGCCATTACAAGCAGGGCGCACTTTAGGATCGATAAATCGGGAACGAATGGCGCGCCGGCGAGAACAGAGGCTTTCAGAACGCGCAGAGGAACAACGGCGGGATAGAGAGGCTCACAGACGTGCACGCCAAGGTCAGACATCTGAACAAAGAGCTGAACGTTTACAATCCCGACGTTTCTCTCGCGCGATATCTCGAGCTTGCATGGACCCAAGCCTGTTAGCAACATCACTTCAGCAACATATGATGGCATTAAAGTGGCAAAGATGTGATGTGTGCAAGGAAGCATGGCCAGGTTTGAAATTGGACGATCTTATGCGCTGTGCGCATTGCAGAAAAAGCAATATCGAAATACGGGAAAAACAACAACATGGACCCGGGAACTGTACCAGCAGCGCTGAAACGTCTGACCTTTCTAGAAGAGCTCTTGATTGCAAGAATTCATCCCGTCCTATCAGTTTACAAAATTGGCCGCGGTCAGCAGCTAAGTTACAGTGGAAACGTCATAAATTTCATGCAAGATGTCGAATCGTTTGCGAAAGTCCTGCCGCACAACGTGAACGAACTGGTTTCAGTTATTTTGGTCAGTGGAACCGACATGGACAACTATACTGCATTCAAGGTTTCTGCCACTCGTATTCGCCGGGCACTGCTCTGGCTGAAAAAAAAACAATATATGGTACAAAGATATCCAGATTAACGAAGCTACGTTATCTCTGCTGCCGGAAGATGGCAATCTGCACTCCGCGTTACCAACGTTACAAACCACCATTCAACCACCGTGTGGTAACACACAACCGGATGACCGGATTCATGACACTGGGGTTGTGGTCACACCGCATACTAATCAGTCGGCACAAGTCAGAGAGGCAGTTGGTGTAGAAATTCCACAAGTTCCGTATCCAAAATTGTCATCACAGCCGATCGACGAGTTCAACACACCAGGCTATATTGCACAAGCGTTCCCGTGTCTATTCCCTACCGGCGCCGCTGATTTACGTGATAACCGAGGAAGGACAGTCGCAGTTTCTGAAAGCGAATACTTCAAACACCTAATGCGCTATGTAGGAAGACGGTTTGCATCACATCCAACGTTTAGATTTTTTGCTATGAACACATTATTTCGCTGGCAAGCACTTCGGACAGGACAGCTTTTTGTGCGGAAGTCGGCGTTGGGGAACATAACGGCAGAGGAACTACGAGATAAGCTGCAAAATAACCCAGCATTAATCAAACAGATCATGAGTTACGGCTCCAGACTACGCGGCACCAGGGCATATTGGTATCACCGTAGCGCGGAATTGATCGACATGGTTAAATCCATTGGAATGCCAACACTGTTTTTCACGCTGTCCGCTGCAGACTTGCACTGGCCTGAACTGTATGACCTTTTGGATCCCACAGTCGACTTTCAAGATTTAAATACGAATGCCAGCACAAAACTGAGAGCAAAACTCTTGCAAGATAACCCAATGGTGGCGGATTGGTTTTTCTCCGAAAGAGCAACGCACTTTATTCACAAAATTCTTGCGCCCAAGCTAAGAATTGCCGACTATTGGTACAGATACGAGTACCAACACCGTGGCAGTGTACACCTTCATGGACTGCTGTGGTTAGAAGATGCGCCCACCAAGGTGAATTTTGATACTTTGGATAATCAAGGAAGACAACGAATAATCGAATATTTCGATGGTTTGATCACTGCTACAAACCCGGATATGGGCGCACCACCAGCTGCAGTCCATCCGTCTCAACTTCGACCAGGCAGTATCACTGACTGGAATGCTGATTACGTGCACCTGGTGAATAAAGTGCAAAGGCATACTGTCTGCAGAAAGGAGACTTGCTTGCGGAAGAAACGACGTGGTATCGAGAAATGCCGTTTTGATTTCCCTCAAGGAATTGTGCCCGTTAGTATGCTTGAAAGAACGGAGGGCAGATGGACCTTTGTACCAAAAAGAAACGATCCAAGAGTAAACAGGCACAACCGAAGTATACTTCAGGCTTGGCGGGCAAATATTGATGTATCACCCGTTGTTGACAAGCATGCAGTGATTAACTATGTTGCAAAATATGCATCGAAAGCTGAACCGCGATCTGCATCATATGGGGATATTTTAAAAATCATCCTGGACAGTGACATTGGAGCCGGAGTGATGGCCAAACGATCGGTACAACGATTGCTGCTAAAATCGGTATCGGAACGCGACATCTCAGCACAAGAATGCAAGCATTTGTTAATGGGATTCGACTTGTACAGAAGTTCCCGCCCTTTTGTAAATATTACTATCAGAAGCGAGGAATGGATTCCACTTGCCGACGATGCAGACCAGCCAGATGCAGATGCCCCATCTACCAAAACCATCCTTAGCAAATATAAAAACAGAGCACTGGCTCTCGAACATTCCAGCCTGATGGAAGTCGCGTCTAATTTTGTCTGGTCAAAAAATGGCTGGAAAAAAAGAGCTCGAAATAAGGAAGCTGTTGTACGAGTATTTCCCATCTTAGCGTTATCGGCAGATGCAACGAAAAATGAAGAGTACTATCGCCAGCAAGTGCTGCTACACTCTCCGTGGCGTGACATTAACACTGCCCTGGCAGAAGGACAAAGTTGAGAACAAGCGTATAACGCGCTCGCGCTTCCAGCCCATGAAAACGATTTACCAGAGGCCGAAGTACCTGATAGTTCGGATGAGGAAGCGGAAGCACCAAACAATCGGGACCAAGATGAGTATATGGTTCTGCACGGCCATGGTCCGCATGATGCACCGCCAGTTATCGAGCTGGGTACCCGTCAAATTGATGTACTGTTTGACTGGCAGGCGGCTTACCAACAATACCCAAATATTGCGGAAGCCGACAGTTTCATTGAACGGGCTAAAACAGATGCAGACGAAGTTAACGAACCGGTGACGTTGCCCAACGTCACTCTTGCCGGTGAACAAGAGGAAGTCAACGCTTATTTCGACGAACAGCTTAATGGCACTATTCCACATCGCTGTACAATCATACAGGGAAAAGCGGGAAGTGGAAAATCCACACTTATTTCCTTCTTGAGAGCAAAGCTGGAGAGCAAACCTGGATTCGGTGAGCAATCGTACCGGCTTGTAGCCCCAACTGGCATGGCAGCCAATAACATTGAAGGAATGACAGTACACACTCTTCTAAGAATTCCGGTTAACAGGAAGTTTGTACCTCTGGAAAACGAAGAACTCGCAAGATTCCAGTCCGATTTCGAGAATATTCGGTGCATTATTGTGGATGAGTTCAGCATGATAGGGTGTACCTTGCTCGCTAAGATGGATCAAAGATGCCGCCAAGCCAAGCCTGAATCATGCGATCTCCCATTTGGTGGCATGTATGTCTATTTTTTCGGAGACATCAACAAGTTGCCGCCTGTACTGGACAGACCGCTATATGGTGATGGTTTTGCAAGCGATTTATCCGATCAAGGACAGCTTGTTTTCCGAAACGCATTCACCAAATGTTTCATCCTTAATTCATCACATCGCCAGACCGGATCGGACCCCGATCAACAAGCCCTAAGGGATGCTTTAGATCGTATCGCAACTGGCGACTCTACAAGCGAGGACTATGAAAAGTTTGTCAACCGAACGTACGCGCTATTGTCAGAGAACGAGAAAACAGATTTCAAGGGAGCATTGCATCTTTTTTCGGAAAAAGAACCCGCACGAAATTACAACACCAACGCTTTAAGACAGCTGAACATGCCGGTCGCAAGAATTATGGCAAAACATAACGGCCGCACTGCTTCCAAAGGTTATTCTAAGGATATATCTAACGTTGGTGTTTTTTATCGGTTAATTTTTTGTAGGAACCAAAGAACAAGCTATGGGTTTCGAACCGGTTTTATACCTTTCTCACGGTAGCCGGGTCATGCTTAAACGAAATTTGTGGACAAGTAAAGGGCTCGTTAACGGAGCGCTGGGTTATATAAGAGAAATTGTATATTCCCCTGGCACATCCCCGACGGACAGTCTACCGTATGCCGTACTGGTTGAGTTTGACAAATATACTGGTCCGACGTTAGCGAATAACTGTATTCCAATAACGCCAACAACAACGCATTGGACGGAAAAATCGGAGAAGTGCGCAAGAACACAGCTGCCTTTATGCCTCGCTTGGGCTATCACCATTCATAAAGCTCAAGGCATAACTTGTAACCAAGCAGTGGTGCACCTTGGAGCCCGCGAATTCGCGTCCGGCCTTATTTATGTGGGATTTTCACGTGTTAAGTCATGGAAAGGACTTGCAATTGAACCTTTGTTTTTCTTTAGCTTACTCCAGTCCATCAAAACAAGAAAAGCTACTGTGCAAAAAGCGCGCGAAATGAACCGTTTCAGACAATTACGATAAATGTTTTTCCATTTGATGTCTAAATTTGCCTATTGCGAAAAAATAAAGAATTCTATGATATAAATCCGGTGTGTAAAAGCTTCCTAAAATCGCGCTACCGTCAGCACTAAGCCCTGTTCCCGCTATATGATCCCGCTACGCTTCGGTCATGCAGTGCCCGCTAAAAGCGAGTGCACTTTCCTAGTTATACTCATACTTGAATCGGCGCTTTGTACTGACTCCAATATGGACCAAAATCCTTCCGGAAACCGGTTCGAACAATAAGTTAAATTTTTGTGCGAAATGAGTCGCAGCGGCCGTTCTGTGGCTGACAGCGGTCTTCTTATCCGGCTTTTTGGGAGCAGTTTTAGGATTTTGCGGTCATCCTGTTTCACTTCAACTAGAGCGTGTTGGGACAGATAATCGAAGCCGAACAGGAGCACTTTGGCGGGACACCATTTCCAAGGAGGGCCCGGTTGATCGCCGATCAGTATCTCCACGGCAAAGTTGCCCGGGTGCGCGGGTAGACGACAGAAATCATCGGCCCAGCGACTGTCTGCAACAATGTCCTCATCGGACCGCCAAAAAGCCGTTCCGAGTTGGACCACTACAGACCGTTGTTCAGGACATTTGAAATCCACTATCAAGCGCTGCGAACCGTCGGCATCCTCTCGGCCGACGATGTAGCCGAACTGCAGCATTCCATTGATTTCAACATCCACACCGTTCCATGCGCGCAGTAGTATCCCAGTCCAACCTGACCAGTTTTTTTTCACCCGGGGGGTCTAAATTTTTGGACCTAGGGCATTATTTACGGGTCTTAATTTTTGGACCCAGGGTATTGTATATGGGTTTAATTTTCTGGTTATGTATTTTACACCGGCGGTGCAGTGCGGGTGTATAAGCGTAATGCTACGTGGTTTCAAGTACTGCCAGACAGTCTCAAGGGTCTAGCTATGCTTTTTTATCCAAATAATTGTTGTCAGTGTATTTACAGAGAAAAATTATTTACTATTATTTACTAGAGGTAATCAAAATTATTTACTAGAGGTAATCGGAATTAATAACTCTTAAAAAATACCTACTATCGGTTATCCTCCAGTGATCATCGAAATCAATTAATCCCGTAAGCGCAAGAGTTAACAATCCACGCACCGCAGCAACTATATCCTAAAATACAGAAAAACTGATTACCTTGTATATCACTTCTGATCCAATTCAGTGACTGGTACAAAAAAGAAAACTGAAGCTAGATCTGTTGGTCAGATAAATTTACTACTGCGCAGTTTTGATTACCGAACGAAGTAAAGGTAATCAAAACTGATTCCCTTTGTAATCAAAACCGATTACCTCGGTAATCAAATCCGATTACCTTGTTAATCGAAACCAATTACCAATGCAGTCAGCAACGATTACCTTCTGTACGAGTGGAGGTAATCAAAACCGATTACCTTTTCTACATATCTAAAAAATAAGGATAATAAAAAACGTTCAGCCGTGCGAGTAGCAGAAAGTATAGAGGTAGTCAGAGACAACTATCTTTTGTATTAGTAGAGGTAATCAAATCCGATTATCTTTTGTACATACAGCACCGTAGAACCAATATACCAAGATACCCCAGGGTATATAAAGCAGAACCCTTCGAAATTATTTGGTCAGGATTTTCTCAACTAGCTTTCAAATATGTGCAAATATTTGCAAACGAACTTACAATTTCTTCTCGTAATATACCAAAGCAGAGGTTCTCTTTCACGAAATCGAGGTTGTGTCCTTCTAAGATGGAACTGGTGAAGAAGCGCAAACGACAAGAGGACGATTTAAGTAGTCCTCGAGGATCCGGATCCGGTGAAGCAGGTAACGGCTAGCGCGTAATGTAATAAGATTTTTGTCTATTAAACTTAAGAAAAAAACAAGCATAAAACTGTGATACTGTGACCATTTTCCATTGCGTCACCAGCTGAATTGAATATGTACTTGCAGAATTGTCGGATCATTTTCTCGATAATGTAGCTGATAACATATACATTGCGGATTCCGGTTCAAAATTCTGGAGAAAATTTCAGTTGCAGTCAAAGTATTTTTCAGTGAAGGTAAGAAAGACATTACATATTTAGCCGTGTGACTTTCCCTAACTGCAAGACTAATTTTAAAGGACACGGGTTTGGAATCCGTTTTATTTTCAGCTGTACCTATGGCCATGACAGTCATGCTTCAGCATGTACTGGATCACGTGTTAGAAGGCGTGGCCCCAGAAGGGATGGTTCGCGTGCGCATCGAGTCCAATTCACTGAATTATCCGATCTGGACTCCAGCTATCCAGAGATCGCAACTAACTGTGCGCCGTTGGATAGCGGAAGTAGAACGGGTGCTGAATTCTTACGAAGAATTCATGATTGACGGGCATTTTGAAGTGTTTGTGCAACACACTGACATCCCGAAGGGAAGCTGCGTGCGGGAAGTGCCGATTTTGCTGAGAAACAAGCTAAAAAATATGCAGTCTGTTATCCGTATCAAAAAACCGGATAAAATATGTCTCGCAAGGGCACTGGTGGTGGGAAAAGCGTATGCAGATAAATCACTCATTCGGAGTACAAAACGCGGAAAGAAGCTCCAAACAAACGAAGCAAAGGCGTTAATAAAAAAGGTTGGATTTGGTGAAAGAGAATATACCTTAAAGGATGTCCCTTTGTTCCAACAAGCCCTTTCCGATTATCAAATAATCATTGTCAGCGTGGATCACGCCAACAGCATTGTTTACAGTGGACCAAAGCGGGAAAAACGCATTACTTTGCTGCATCACGACCATCACTTTAATCTGCTGAATTCGTTGCCTGCATTTTTTTAAAAAAAAGTTATTGGTGTTTTACCTGTAACAAGGGTTACGACGAAACAACGGATCATCGATGTGAGTCCATCTGCCAATCTTGTTTACGCCCAAACCGCGAGTCAGATAATGCAGACATTATTGAATGCCCCGATTGCCATCGCAAGTTCTTTGGTCATGGGTGTTTCGCTGAACACAAAGTTGGATCGACACCCCGACAGAAAGGACGGAGAAGTATTTGTAAGACGGTATTTATATGTCAACAATGTTTTCGTGTGGTATCCAACAGAAATCGGAAGAACGGCAACGAGCATCGATGCGGAGAAATTTATTGTCAAATCTGCAAGGTTCATGATTTACCTGCCATTCACAAGTGTTTCATGAAACCTCACAAAGTGACAGAAGAGGAATTAAAAGAACATGAAAATGCGCGCTTTCTTTTTTTTGATTTGGAAACTTACGTGGCAGAAAATCACGAACTGGCGGCTAATCTAGCGGCAGGAATGCTTTTTTCCGTATATAATTTATTATTTACAATAATTTCATTTTATAAGGTCGTTCAAGATGACAACGGTCGGGAATGGATTTTTCCAAAAGAGAAAACATCGTTCGGTGATAATGTAACGGATCAACTATGCAACGCTTTGTATTTCATGAAAGACACAGGAATTACTATATAATTGCACATAATGTCAAGGTAAAATCAATGTTGCGACAAAATAACCGATAATACCACATGATATTTAATGTTGTAGGGATTCGATGGGCACTTCATACTTCACTGGTTACTACGGAACGGAATAGAACCTCATATTATTATGAGTGGCGGAAAAATCCTGCAGCTGGATGTAAGTGAATTCAACATCCGATTCCGAGACAGTTACAACTACAACCCACAAAGCCTAGCAAAATGGCCAGCGACTTTTGGTATTCCGGATATTGACAAGGGAACGTTTCCTCACCGATTCAACCGCAAAGAAAACTGGGATAAAGTGGTTCCTTTTCCGCAACCGGAGGAGTACGGGTACTCCAGCATGAACAAAAAATCCAAGGAGTCTTTTATGCGGTGGCGCGAGACTGAATCCAAAGCAAAAGGCAATCTTTTTGACTTTCGCAAAGAAGTTGAGGATTATTGCCGGATGGATGTGACAATTTCGCGCAAGTGTTGTCAACAGTTTCGCTACCTTTTCCGAAAGATCAGTAACGGTCTTTGTCCTTTTGTGGCAGCAATAACCATTGCTGGCGTTTGCATTCAGTATTGGAAATCGTTTATTCTCAAACCTGATCAAATAAAACTACTTCCCCATCGCATCCATGCAAGAAATCGCAATCAGTCAGAAGTTGCAAAGAAATGGTTGGCCTGGATGGTGCGTGAAGAGGAGTGCGTCATTGAGTCTGTGCTAACCGGTGCCAAACATCAGATTGGACCGTACTTTGTTGATGGGTTTCGCGAAGACATCAACCATGCGTACGAGTTTCACGGTTGCTTTTACCATGGATGCCCGCAGTGTGAAGCTCCCGACACGATACACCCTCTTCGTAGTATACCCATGTCCGAAATATATAACGAAACCATGGAGCGCGAAAAGTACATTCGCAGTCAGGGATACGGCCTAACTGCGATTTGGGAACACGAATTCAACGACCAAGTCAAGTCCGATCCTGAACTAACAGCATTTGTGAATGGGTTTTTGATTGTTACACCGCTAAGTCCTCGCGATGCGTTCTACGGTGGCCGGACCAATGCCGTAAAGCTACTGCATGAAGTCAGTGGAGACGAAAAAATATGCTACTACGATGTCAACAGCGAATACCCGTACATCAACAAAAACGAACGGTATCCTATCGGTCATCCTAAAATTATTACCAAAGATTTTCAAGATATTCGCAGTTATTTTGGTGTTGTCCTGTGTCAAATTCTTTCACCAAGAGATTTAAAACTTCCCGTACTACCGTACCGCTCTGGTAGAAAAATAACGTTTCCGCTGTGTCGCACTTGTGTTGACAAGTATCGAAATTCCAAATGCGAACATAAAGATGCCGAACGTGTTCTAACTGGAACATGGTGCACCCCTGAAATTAATGAAGCTTTGGACCGGGGCTACATCGTTACAAGAATTTATGAAGTTTGGCACTTTGAAGAGTACTAACACCATCTGTTCGCAGAGTACATCAACAAGTTTTTGAAAATCAAAGCCGAAGCTAGTGGATGGCCGGCCCATGTCATTACGGAAGACCAGAAGCAGCAGTACATAGAAGACTTTAAGCAACACGAAAACGTTGCCGTCGTTTATAACAGGATTGCACTGAATCCCGGATTGCGTGCCCTTTCTAAATTATGTTTAAATAGGTAATTTACAAGAATACGGATTATTTTAGTACATGAAAAACGGTTATTTTTAATTGCAGTTTTTGGGGACGTTTGGGGATGCAAGATAACAAGCTGAATACTGTATATGTTACGGAACCGGATAAATTTTACGACATGCTGTTGTCTGGAAAGTACCACGTGCAGTCTTGGGACATGTTTTCCAAAAACGTTGTTCAAATGACGTACAGGAAGGAAAGCGGTTTTGTGGATCAGAATCCAAACACTAATGTCATCCTGGCGGCGTAAGTTTCTTCTTTTCAGTGCTGAAGTAATCTCACACAAAGCATTATTGCAGATTTACAACTTGTTGGGCAAGAATGCATTTATATAAATTTATGGACATGGGCTAAGGATCGCTTGTTGTACTTTGACACAGGTATTCAGTCACATGTTCTTGTCTATCTTTTTTGTCGCACAAAAAATATATTTTTTAGACTCGATTTTCTTTGTGACAAAACCGGGACTTGTGGATCCACCAACTGGGTGTTTCTTAGGCGACCCAACAGATGAGCTAAAGCCTGGTCAACATATTGTGCAGTTTGTTAGCCTTGGTGCCAAAACCTACGCGTACGTCACCAACGACGGCGAGACAGTGGCGAAAGTCAAAGGATTCACTTTGAATGGGCGAACGAGTGAGCAAATTAACTTTGTTTCAATGCTGAAAATGCTGGAAACGCGTAGTAGCGTTGATTTTCATTATCCTGATACCCTAAAACGTGTGAAGAAAGATTTGAGATATATAGTACTAGCATGCAAAAACGCTTTCAAGTGACGTATGACAAACGTCGGATTGTTGATTCTGATTACAACACGCTTCCATATGGATTTTCACTGTCTTGAATTTATTAAATTGTTGCAGCATCACCTCGACACGTTTCACAGCCTTAGGTAAATCAGAAAAACGCTTCAAACCCAGAAAATTGCATTTACCAGAAGGAAACAAAACAGCGCGGCTAACCTCGAGCCTTATAGCGAGCCCACTGAACGGTTCAGGGGTGTGTTCCAACTTAAAAAATTCGCTAAATTTTTCGATGTGCACACGATGAGGAAAGGTGTGATTAGCTACGATATTAACAACTCGGTATCCTGAAACTATACAGGGATACCCAATATCCACCAACATACTAGCAAACGTTTCCATCAATTCCCGTGACTGGTCCTCTGAGCGAGCCCCGTTAATTGTTATTTTTCCATTGCGGTACAGCTGGCAGTGCGCTTTAAAAGGACTGACGATGCGGACCAAAAGACCGGAAAATCGCTGCGGAATGTACTGGGCCATTGGTAGTGTTTTTTCAATTTCCTTCAGGTCCAGGGTACAGTTTAAATTCGCAACGGCAACGACATTGGTGATTCTGGGCATCGCAGTGGTACCACAAGGCGAATCGTACGGCTTTCCGAAGCGTTGAGACTGGCAGCGAGGTAAGCCTATGATACGGTGGGCAGCCCAGGGATTCTAAATTCCTTACTTCCGGTAAGTACTGCTCCAACAGCCGGCACTTTTCAAGACCTTTGGCAAAAAAGCGCACTTGGCTGGGTCGCCCAATTCGTCGGAAGATGTCCTCCAAGGCGCAGGTCACCTGATTATGCCGATATTCTCCTTCCGTATTCCACAGTAAACCGTGTGAGTGGCGCGCTTGTCTTTTCAGCTCGGGGATGTGCTGATTAGCAAAGCGTGGTAGCGTGAAGGTGTACAGACCCTGCTCAGCTTTATCGGGGCAGTAAAACGCTAGTTGTTTGAAATACTTGTTTCCATTGATAACGAACCAGTCGGTGTCCAGCATACAAGGCGTTGCCATTTCATCCCTGGTGAAAACAACAATATCATCAGATAAGCAGCTCAAAACAAATTAAGTTCAAATGATTTGGTTTGTTAACCGTGCACTTGAGAAGTATTCAGAACGGATAATTTTTTGTTCTAGTTGAGATAATAAGCGATTACCTGGGTAATCAGAAACGATTACCTGGGTATTCAGAAACGATTACCTGGGTTATCAGAAACGATCACCCAGGTAATCAAAAACGATAACCCAGCTAATCAGAAACGATTACCCGGGTAATCAGAAACGGTTAACCAGGTAATCAGAAACGATCACCCAGGTAATCGAAAACGATAACCTTTTGTACTAGTAAAGGTAATCAAAATCGATTACGTTGATACTAGAGTAAACGAAAAGGGTCACCTCAAACCAGAAGCATTCCTATATAAAGTGAATGCAAGTGGTTGATTCTTCATCAGGTTCTTCACCATTTACCTTTTTGAAAATTTTAATTTTACCATGGAATTTCTGGATCTGTTGACAACTAAGCGTCCGCAAACCGCTGTAACCAAGTCCAAGCGGAAAGGTCAAGAGTCGGAAGATGGAGGAAAGCCAGACGCCAAGAAAATCAAACCCAACAGCATTCCGGCCACCATATCCACGCATCCGCGGTTTGCTTTCTCACAACTGGGAAAACCGGTGTACCGCTTAGGTAACGACAAGTTTGTCTACGTTGGACCGAACAGCGACGGAAAGGTCAGTACAATTCGTATTGTTTTCGGTGAATGGAAAGAGCAGCCGGACAATTCTTGGAAAGCCAGCTACGGAAAAAATATCTCGCTGTCCAAAACTGGTTTTCTCCGTTTGGCCGCACTTATGCTGACCGAGAAGGCCGATATGGATGAAGCGGCCCGTGCCAGCGCAGCCGAAACTGGGCGGCTGACACTGTTGTACTTGTTGGACAGTAACTTGTATTTTGGCTGGAGCCGATTCAACGGGCACCAACGTGGCTACGATTCCGCGCTTTGAAGTGAAGGGCGGCGACATGATTCCCACCCGCTACGGTATTTTTTTTGGCGAACGCTGCTACGATGGACTGAAAGATTTAATGAAAGACCTGCAGCTGTTCAAGGATATTGTCAAAATCCAAAAAGAGCAAGGAATCCAGGAACCATTCAAGGAAGGACTGAAATTCCCAACGCTGTGCGAGAATATTGCTGATGCTCTGGCGCCATCGGTCAAGCAGTTGGACGATGGGACCTTTCAACGCTGCCATGAAGACAATTATGTGCCATCTGATGCGCAATGGAACGGGGCCGTGGAGCGATTCTAGGAATTACGTATGGTTCACGGGAATTTGTTTGGTCTGGATAAGCTAAGTGTAGAACAGGCTTTGGACCTCGATGTGGCTAGTTTTTTGGCTAAGCGTGGTGATCAAATTCGTGCCAAGGTTGGAGATATTATTTCGACCGATTATTGTTGAGTTGCTGTTTTCACATCTACTGGTACGAATAACGGAAACGGGTCAGTGACTTTTTTATTTCATTAGACGCTTGCACATTTGTCGGAGTAGAGCTCTATCCACCATGGTTGTGTTAATGTCGAAAAAAGAATTGACATACTGACACACCATTTTGTCGTTGCTTATTCGGCTGTCCGTAAATAAATGCACAATATTAGTATATGATTCACCACCACAGCGTCGTAGAATAAAAAACAAAAAATATTGTCCGCAAACAGTGCTAAATTCCGACTGAAACTGTTCATTTTGTAGAGTCATTTCATTGGCTGCCACCAGTGGCGTGAAATGCTGAGAATAGCTTTCCAAAGTTTTCCCGTAGGAATCAAACATTTCCATTTTACCGGCTTGTTCCTGGTACAGCGCAATCCATTGCTCGCTTTCCTGATCGACAGGGTCGGTATTCACTACACAGGCTCCGGAAAAGGTGCAGGTGTCACTGGAACCTGATCAATGGCGTAGACTCCACGGAATACCGATGTAGTTTGAGGATTCCCATGGAGGGCCGAGGTAATTTCCTGTGTATTGATGTTGTAAAATCCGCAATCAGCTGTCGATGCTGGTTGATTTCTATAATGCTATCATAGACCAGCATGCACACCATCATAGCGGTATTTTTTAGTGGTTTCCCGAAAGACACCGAGACGCTTAGGTTTCCCTGTTTGATCAGTGTCAGAGGTCCGCGGCCGGTATGTCCTGGAGTCAGGTCGAAACCGAAAGTGGTGTATCCGTCGTTATATTGGGTCCTGTTGAAAGGTAAGCCGCCTTGCAAGCTAGGACGGTGTCCCAGAGTATCCAGCAGCCCGTCGTAGCACTCCAAAGATGAACTACGGCCAAAATCGGCAGTGTACGGTTTGGTGGGATAACTTTGACCGTCCACTTCGACGCTGATTTGTGTAATGTTAAAGTGCTGGAAGTTGAAGGAGTTTTTCTTTTGTGATCCGTGAAAGTCTTCGCTGTCCATAAAACTGATAAAGACCACCTTGGGAATTTGGTCAATCTGTAAATTGCTGACCACGGTGCTTTGGCTTCGTTGGGGAATGTCCGACACGCGCAACACTACGCGTTCGATGTGGTACTTGACCGTTTTCTTCAAGAGCTCTCCGGCTGAAGCAGTCAGAAAGTCCGGTGACGGGATGTAGCTGCGAATGGACAGGTGCGCATTCCGGATAAATGGTTTGAAGGTTTTGGTGGTGTCCGTATCCTATACACGTAGGGCAAATTCCGGTCGGCTAACCACTAGGCGAATATTGACGGGAACACCGGTGCACAGCGGTTTGCTCTGATCAAATAGGTCCAAAAATAGTTTGCCGGAAAGCTGTACGTATTGTCCTGCATTAAAGAGCGCCGCTCGATTTTTTTCACCGTTATTTGCGGTCTCACTGTTAAAGGACCCCAGACTATCGTAGTAGAATGCGGCGGATGTTAGTTGGCTTTGTTGGGCGTCCAGTGTGTGAGACAACAGTGATTCCAGGTAAGCGCGATACGGGTAGAAGGTCGCGGTATCCGAGATCAATCGGTTGGCTACGGTGACATGGCATGAAGAGAACAAGGAGTGCAGAAAGTTGTTGACCGGTGCCACACCATCTGCTGTTGTGATAAACTCCCATTCACTGGTGGTTTTGCGGACTTTAATACCCACTTCTAATTCCAAGATCATATCCGCTAAACTGAGTAGTCCGGAGGTGCTAGGTGGGATGAAAAAGTTGATATCGCCGGCGGATCTGTTGTCTGTCAAGACGGCAGTGGGGATAAGCTTTTCGTCTTCCGTGCGCCAGCGATCCGTTAGAGTGGCCGGTAATGCAAAGAGCTGGTTCTCCAGTTGCATGGCCGGCTCAGAATTTGCCATCATTAGCATGGCCATTTATCAGAAGAAATCCGGAATATTAGTTGGTGGTATACGTTTCAGTCGAACAACTTTGGGTTGAACTCGTCGCTTCTTTCGAACACCTTCTCCTTCCTGGGAAGCAAAACGTTTCTCTATAGCTGTTCCCGCACGTGAGGCTGCCTCTTTAAAAGCCCCGGTGGCCGCTTCTTGCAGATGAGGTGTAGCCGCTTCAAGAGCAGCTCTAGCATGAGGTGCGGCTTTCCGTAATATTGGCTGAACGAATCCTGATAGCTTGGCAAACAGATTTTTCAAAATTTGCGGAAAACCCGATCCGTTTTGAAGAGTGCCACGGTACCGAATAAGTGCGCTGCCACCGGTCTGACTCAAAAAAAAAACGTTTTCGTATCGGCGGGGATCCGGCACGTACTCCAACAGAGGCATTTTAGTAGAGTCGTTGTGGTCGGAAATCTAGCTTTACCAAAGATTTTCCCGTTTGAAACTTGGCGTCGTCTCCCAGGTCGTTGGCAATGGTCAGCTCTATTGTTTCGAAGTTGTCGTAATACAGGAACATAGTATGGAATGTCGAACCTAGCCTCGACAATCTGAGTGACTTCTCCTCTAACAGGCACGGAACGTAAAAACTGCGCTGCGGTATTTCCAATCAAGCTGTAGTCGGCCACATCACTGTAGACAAACAGGCTTTTGGTTTCCTAGTAGAGTATTGACCGGTCGCTCCGAAATGAAAGTGGTAAGCTTTGGATCAGGAGACTTGGCCAGAAACGACAGGTACTGGATACCGACGTTTTTTGTCTCCATAGGAAATGGACCAATAAATGCATTGCTGTTACTCTCCAACGGGACATCGGGTTTTAGAACGCTATGTTCAAATCCTAACATCTTTTGTAAAACTATCGACGATGGAGGAAAAACGACGGAAACCCGATCGTTGCCAATATTTAGTCGGACCCGATGATTGGTGGGCGTTAGCAGTTGAACAGTGAAAGCTCTGTCAGCAGTTAAAGCGCTTTTATCAGCGCGCACCGTATCGTCTACCATGTACGATCCAACTTTGGGCACCAGTGAATTAATGGTCTTCAGTAATAATTCCGCATCTTTGTAATTTCCAGGTGGTATAGTGATCTCGTCCGTGTGAACCACTTGGTCAGCAGATTCCAGGAAGTTTGCTTCGTCTTTCTTTAATTTGAATTCTCGTACAATGTATACCGCAATCTTCTGCTCAACAGGAAGAGTAAAAAAGGAGTTGAGGTACTGTAGTTCAACCAAAGCCATTTCCCATTTTCCTTTCAGGGTAATGGGATGCTTCAGTTTGGTCGTCCAGTTGGAAGGGGTGTTGCTAGGGTCCGTAGCGACATCGCTCGGCAGCGTCACGTAGAACGGTGCTCCTTCATACATGATGCCTTGATCCAGGAATCGTGTTCAGGTCCGTACCCTAACCAACGTACTAGTATCTTAGGTCCACGGCGTCTAATAACGCGGTCGATGGTATGTTCCTTCTGTTCCGGGTGCGATACTTTGGAAAGTTCGTGTTCGTAGAATGTCCCTTCGATGGGCTGGTCTTGGTAATCCTGTAGTCGGTATACCGGTACAGTATGCGAGATGACTTTATTGATGTAGAAGACCTCCTCCTTAAATCGATACGTATAGCCTTTTTCCACCTTGGTTTTGTGCACGGTAATGCGAACCGGATCACCGACCTTGAACCGAGGTTGCCGGCATTTACTGGTGGGATACAGCTTGTTGAATACCGCCAACGAATTGTTTTGTGTGACATCAATTGGGCGCAGTCCGTGGGCACGATGTTTGGAATGGTTATACGAGTAAACCAAGTCTTGCAGTATGTCAATGTACCGGTCGATACACGCGCTCGAAACAAGCGAAACATCCGTGTTTTGATGGTGCGAATGACGCGTTCAGCCATGGCGCATTTAATGTCTTCATTTTCCGATGTGAAGGAATGAATCTTTTTTTCTTTCAGGAAAGTCTTGACGGTGGCGTTAACAACTTCGGTTCCTTTGTCGTACTGCAGCTTCTCCGGTTCGCCGAGTTCTTCAAAGCCCTGCGATAAGGCATTTTTGGTTTCTTTGGCCGTTTCGGTTTTCATCGGTTGGATGCTCAGCTTTTTGGAGAAGCAGTCAATCACAAAAACAGGTGTTCGTATCCATCGTTTTCCTTGGAATATTTTGATAAATCAGCCAGATCCGCTTGGTACTGCTGGCGAAGGTTGGTCACTACGATCTGATTGCGTGCAAACCGCCGGGGATTTTCTTTGGTCACAGTGTACGCATTGATCTCCTGCAGAATCTCCTTTGCTTTCCGTCTGTTGGCTCTGGTCTTGAGACTTCTTCGAAACCTTTCTACGCCTCGAAGACCGCCGGGGTCGCGTGGAATGAGGTATCGTTTCATCAGTTTCTCCATCACTTTTGTTGCAACACGTTGACACGCAGTTGATCTTAAATATTCGGCACAACCGCAAAACGCTGGGCAGTAGGCTAGCCATTACGTTAGGGTAATCCACTGTATTCTCATATGACCAGTTCCCGTTTGGATGGTACGTGAGCGCAGTTTCCTGACACTGCCTTCAATTTCACCCGCTTTTCTTTTTTTCCCACGTAAAAGTGTGCTTACTGGGAACAGCGGCCGACGAGATCGCTTTTGCGGATACGTTGGGGTTTTAGTATCTTCAGGTTGTCGTTCCTGACCCTTCCTTGGTGCGGTCGGTGGAGACAGCACCAGGCGTGGTGTTTTTAATGGTCGCACTTCTGCGCTCTCGTCTTGATGTCGTTTTGAACCTTTCTTTGGCAACAACGCAGGAAACAAAGCAATGCGTGCTGCTCTGGCTCTGGTATTGTCTTCAAGATCGCTGTCGTGGCGTTTCTGTCCTTTGGCGGGTACATCGGATGGGAATAAAGGTTGACGAGGTTGTTTGGTAGGAGCAGCTTCCTCAAAGTCTTCTGGTTTCTTTCGCTTTCGAGGAACTGGTTGATCAAAATCCCGTGTCTCAACTACCATCGCCTGCGGTTGCAGTCGGGAATGTGGTTGGAGTGTTGGGGGTTGCAGGTTCCTTTCCGCAGTTATTGGTAGCGGTTGCGTGGTTACATCTGTGGACAATTCCAATGGATTTTCATCAGGAATTGCTTTTTGTTTCAAGGCAAGGAACCGTTCCAGAATACTGCTTATCTGGCTGGCTTTTTCGTGCTCGCTTATATCAGTGCGTTGCAGTGTTTGAAGTACGAGGGCGTCCAACGATAGAACGCTTTGGGCTTCTGGGGGTTCCCTATTGATCTGCAGTTGTTCATGAAGGCGGTTTTCCATAACTCGGCGTGGAACGATAAAGTATTCATCCATTTCCGATAAGAGAAGTCAAGACGCCGGCAATGACTGGTAAGATTGCTCCAGTAAATCCTCCTTGCTGAATCAATTTTCGTTTTTCTTTCAATGGGTAGCGTCGTAAGGCAATCAGCTTTGACGCTTTCCGATACCGTTTGCATTTGTCTGCTTCTGCAGACGAGAGGTTGACCGTGTTTTTTACAATATTGACCGCAACTTCTTCCAGTGCTTTAAGTTGCGATTTGTTTATTTAGCCCACAAGGACTTTCTGTTGCTCTGGCTTCAGGTGTTGCAGGGTGATGATGAAGGGCGCTAAGGCCTTTACCCGTTCCGACATTTTGGTAAACTGTTTGTTGCGCTCCGGTTGAGATAAATCCGCATTCGTTCACCCGGTAAAACATGCGATCGTATCCTTAAATAATCTGGGCAAGTTGGGCGCAAGTCCAGAACCAAGGGTTGATAGGGCTCCGATGTAACTTTGTTGTACGCGTCGACCAAATGTTTCAGTCCAGTTTGACCTGCCAGTAATGCGATCTGGTTGACATCCCGGACTTTCTTAAATAGTATCAAGTACTGCGAATTGAGTGTGATGTCACGCATGGATTTTCCTTGTTCGTACAGATTTTGCAGCAGCGGGATGACGGAAACGTTCTTGTGGTGAATTCCACGGGTGAACAGGTCCGAACATCGAGCATCTTTGCACTGGTCGGTAGCTAAATCGTCGATAATAACCAAGGTAGGAGCCTTACTGTCAACTGACTGCAAAACTGAAAAGAGTTCGTCCAGACCGTACAAGAATTCTACTGGAGTAACCTGTTTCTGAATGTTCTCAAATCCCTTCTGCCACCGGCCGTAACAATATAATATCCGTGCTGGTTGTTGATCAAAAACGGAGGTACTGTTTCTCAGGAGCGTAAAAACAAAGTTTGTTTTGCCCGACATAGTTGGCCCACAAACACACATTCCAAACAAAGCGCAAAAGCGCGGATAATCATTTATTACACTGAACATTTTTAAAGCCAGCAGAATATTTTGTGTACATATTTGGCACACCTGATCGATACCGCTTAAATAGACAGAAACGATGGTGAATTAAAACTTGACCCACTCGTGGAAAATAAACTGCGCTAGCTTATTTAAGGGATGCTGGTATGACTTAAAAATATGTTCAATTCACAATGGCTAACCTTCAACACATGTTGTGCTTTGCACGTAACCTTGAGCAGAATTGCGAAAAGGTGCTGCTAATCATCGTGTATGTAGTATTCTTCGTAGTTTTCGCTGCATTTGTTGTCATTGAAGGGATTGGAAAAATTATGCGTACTGACTACTGGAACAGCACCTTGCGAAACCGAACAACAGAACGGTATGACGTTTCAACTGCTGGGTAAGAATTTAACAGTATTAAGTTAAAGTGTATAACGATTCAAGATTGCAATCAATTAAAAACTTTACTGCGTACTTATGTCCTCGTTATTATTACAGCATAAATGCAGCAGTTGGAACCGTTGGAACAGTTGGACCTGTATAAGAATGGGCGCTTCTTTCAAACAGTGACTCCGGTCATACCAATTTCTGAGGTTTCGTTCCACAAAATAACTGAATGCAAAAACTTTTTCGGAAAGTAACTGTTATTGCCAGAGTATTTGTGGATCCGGCGCAAAACACGGTGCGGATTTTTGTGTTAAACAGATTGGAATGTACGCAACGTAATAAAAAGCTACACTATGCGTAATTCATTACCACAACTTTGTACGTACTTGACGTGATCAAAAACTGATACCTCTACCAGTAGAAAAGCTAATCATTTCTGGTTACCTCCATATATTTTTTTGTTTCACGGATGAACGTTTTTGGTTATTCTTATACTTTAGACATCTACAAAAGGTAACCGTTTTTGGTTATCTGTTCTAGTAATAAAAGTAGTCGTTCCTGATTCCTCAGGTAATTGGTTTGGATTACCTAGGTAATCACTTTAAATTACCAAGATAATCAGTTTTGATTGCCAAGGTTATCAGTTATAATTACCTTTTTTTCGTTTGGAATGTGCGTTAGTGCAATAGCATATTTACCCAACCGCAGATCAAGCTTTGTTTTCCCTTTTTTCTATAAATTTCAAAATCGGTAAACTGTATTTCTACAGTTTTTTTTCAAAGTTCTTGCTTTTTTACTAACACTTCCGTTCTTTATTTATCGCACTTCTTTTATCAAAATTTCTGCTAACTGAAGTAAATTTTTGTGTAAATAAGCACAGTTTTGATAATTTTTTTGGCAAAAGTACCGAGATCATTGCTTTTGATTACTTGAAACCGCGTGTACATAAACAATCGTGGCTGCGCCACGACTGTACATGCCCACCGCCGGTGTAAAATACGTAACAGGTCCAGAAATTTCGACCCCTACATAAATACCCTAGGTCCAAAAATTATAACCCGTAAATAATGACCTAGGTCCAAAATTTTAGACCCCCCGGTTAAAAAAAACTGGTCAGGTTGGACTGGGATACTACGGCGCGCTGAGGACAGCGTTTACCATTTCCATTTACATACAGATGCATTTTCACTTTCAGGTATAAAGTCATTTACATATAATAAAATCTGTTGTTATATAGCCTTCTTCGGGGCAGAAAGGAAAGTTATATATACCAGATTAAAGTTTATCAACGAAGTTTGAGTGCAAATCGGTATTTAATTTCATCAGCTTGTCGAAACAAGCACACATTATGATTACCGGCAGGTTTCACCGTAATTTCGGGCTTATCGTCCCCGTTTATCTTTTGCCTGTCGCAAGACTTGCCGCTATTTCTCTTTTAATGAGCAAATGATCGATATTCATCAGGTTTTGTGTGTCATATCGGCATACACGTTTTTTAAACACTCACGATCAGTTAGCATCGCAGTTACACAAACTGTTTCTTCGGTTTGAATGATTCGCTCTACTTGTGCATGTACAGACACAATAATTGCTGCGTGTCTACAACTGCAGAAAAACACTTACAGAAAAACACTCGTACAAGTACATACACTTCATAGCTGCCAATATGAAGATTCGGACGATTTGCTGTTGACAAGTGGATTAGACATTTCATCATGTTGAGACAGACATTTTGTATACATTTTAGTGATGTAGCATTTAAAATTTTAATAATTGGCCGTACAGACGTTTCGACAATGAGGGCTAGGGTACAATCACCACAATGCATCATGTTTTCCCAATCCATATATTCAAGCGGTAGGACGAAAAGACAATCCGCTCGCATTTATGGATAGCTAAACTCACGGACCAGTGAATTTGCGGCAGGCTGGCTAAACTGTTAAGTTAATCCAAATGCAACAGCCACACGCAGTGGTGCTAATGCACACGTTTCGGGTTTTGAAGGGATGCCTACAATTACTCGTAGTACATCGAACACAGTTTGGAATTGGATGGTTATCCGCTCTAGGATCAAGCTGCGAGTGTACGGCCGTCAGGCCAGTGCACCAGGCTGTTAGTAATCGTCATTCGTAACTAGCAATTGTTCGTGCGCACTGCGTTTCTTCGACCCCTGTGGTCGTAAAAATTCTATGTATTTGGATAAGATCACCAATTCAGATTACACAGTGCGCAGCGGTGACAAACCCGTTGGACGTACGAAGGGTGCGCTATTTCTTCTGCGAGGTAAAAAGTCTTCGCACTTTTCTTTGCGGCAATTGCACAATGAACATGACAACACAAAACCGCATTCAACAACTCCACAGCGTTCGCGTGTCCGCCATACTGGTTATAATAGCAAATTTATTGCTCTATTCGCCCAAACATATATCAAGGAAATATCTTCATCGTCGTCGGTTCCAGCTTTCGCTTTAGCCTTTCTGCCAAGTGATTTCGCTAGTCGTGCATTCTGGTGTTCCTGTCGACGTAGCTTGCGACCTGGCCATAAAGCACACGACAGAGCATCTATGCAGATTCGATTGAACTTCCGAATGGGTAAATTGCCAAAATCCTCCACAATCCACGACCGATTAGAATAATGTGAACCATTCTTGATTAGAATCACGGATTACGATTGCAATGACATCTTTGGAAAACAACAGGAGCGTTTCTTGGCGACAGCAGTTAAAACTCCCCGAAGGAGAAAGAAAGGCAGCTATAACGGAGCCGGAAAATTGGAGGGAAACCATAGAAGGCGTTTGAGAAGCGTGAAAAAATGCCGCGTAAATAGAAAAACGCCAAATACAACTGAAAGAGCAGAAATAACAGAAACTGGAGAGCATCCTAAAAAACGTTGGGGAGGAATTTTCTACGGAGGAGGAAGAGTCATGAAGATAAATGACGTGAAGAATGAGCAAACATCAGTGAATATTAAGCATCGGGACAACGAAACGCTTAACGAATTCCGACTGGAGGGAAGAAGCGGAAAAAGTTGGAACTGACGCATGGAAACAACATGAAGAAAATCAGCGCGATTGAATTAGAACAATTTTTGAGAAATACAATAGACTACAAATCGAATGGGCGATGAAAGTGAAAACTGAACGAAACGGAAAGAAATTTCATGGATGCTTGATGCTTTAAATTGTATGTGTCTGCTAATTAAATTGCTAATAATTATTGATCCGGTGCGACAGTACAAAGTATGTTTGTTTTAATCGCGAAGTGCGATTTTTCTAAGGGGAGAGTTGTTATTAGGTCACTGTTATGATGTCATTAGGAATGCTCCCACACCCGTAGGCGTGTTCTTCTCATGAGTTTTGATTGCATAACCTGCTGTGTGTGTTTTGCTATCTTTTTGAAGCCTTGGATGCTAGGAATCTGCCGCCAATATAAGCGCGGTTACATCGCTAGTATCTGAATCTTGTTAGTTGAGAGTTTTGAATCGAGAGGGTCGCCAATAAAGACCATCCAGTACACACTGCAAGAGACCGTTTCCTCTCGTAACACGGGTACCGAATCTAGCGATACTTCCCCACACATATTTTCTGTCAAATACAGATATGTGTGATCCGTGTCAGTGTTGCTCAGAAACTATTTTCTGATTTAGTTTCTTTAGTGGTCAAACTTTTACTGCGTTATAAAAATTGGGACATCCTTTATCACTGTCTTGAAGTGAGACAGTGAGGGACGACATAAACGTATGAATAATGATAAACTGTACAGGGTACACAGAGAGGCCAGATCTTTGCTAAAAATTTTGACCTAAAGTAATCGCAATTAGGTCTCCCCTGCTTTTCTCTCTGCGATGCGTAGGCGAAGAGCAAATACAGACACTTATAATTTGATCAATCAACTATTAGCCATCTTGTGAAAATATATTATGAAAACGTCCTTCATAATGGAAACGAAAGAAACCCGGTTGAACTACAGTCAAACTGAAACGAAATTTTCGCACATTTTCATATACTTTCCAATTTTTACGCTCACATTTTTGAAGCACTAAATGTTTTTAGGTTGTTCTTCTCTCGCAACATGAAGTTGCAAAACCGACTGTTTTGTTCAAACCGCTTTTCTGGAAATTAACAACTGCTTGGGAAAGACAAAGATAAAGCTGTGCTGTCAATCGGTTTTCATGCCAACGCCTCCAGGTCATTAAACCATCGAATGTTACAAAAAAATTGGAAACATTATATATTTTTTGAAGAGCGCGGAAGCGATAGTTTCCGTGCATAGGTACAAATTAACTGATATCAGTACCGGAAAGGTTTTCTTAAGTTCCGGTCAGCATAACCACTCACGGCGTACAACAGAGTGAACAAATTAATATAAATGCCATATGAGTACCCCGTTTTTCGGTTATTCGTCACCTCATACTCCTCCAGCCACTGCCATTGGCGTAGTCGGGAAACGTAACGGTACTCATTCCCATACCGTGCCACTTTTGTTAAACATCTCTTATTTGAAACCATGCTGATGAAAAAGTGACCTTGCGCGATCTTGTTCCGCTGGTTACGAAATCACGTTACCATCATGTTTTCGCAACAGTACAGAATAAATTCTGAAACCTTTAAAATCCATCTCGGCAGATAGACAAACTTTTAGCTCCGTGGATCCGTCTCAAGGAGCAATATAGGAGCAATATACCATAAAACATACAAACATAATCGATTTAGTTTCCGAACGCCCAAACTGCGCAGAATTTTCGTTTTCCATTTTCTCTTGGAATAAGAGGCTGAAAGACGCGGATCGCAGCTCTGGTACGTTGTCAGCACCTGCAAAATACAATGTACGACAAAAAGAGGTTGAACCGATCAGTCGGTCCGCGGTTCAGAATAACCTCGCAACGACACGCCACCACTAAAACTTAGACGCTTACTCACTACTTTCAGACGCTCGCGCTCCGTGATATCAAAGTGCAGCTATACTAGTTGCATATCAAAAGGTGTAGAAAAAAATTTTAAACTTTTTGATACTAAACCTGTGGTTGTTTATGGCGACCAACAAAAATTCTAGCCATTTTGCTTTCTCGTAGACACAGCATAGGATCTGTGCGCATAACCGTTTGGCTTGCAATCAGTGCTCAAGTCTATACTCTATGGGAAAGCAAAATGGCTAGAATTTGTGCTGTTCGCCATAAACAGTCACAGGTTTAGTATCAAAAAGTTAAAAATTTTTTTCTACACCTTTTGATATGCAACCAGTATAGCTGCACTTTGATATCACGGAGCGCGAGCGTCTGAAAGTAGTGAGTAAGCGTCCAAGTTTTAGTGGTGGCGTGTCGTTGCGAGGTTATTTTGAACCGCGGACCGACTGATCGGTTCAACCTCTTTTTGTCGTACATTGTACGTATTATCGAAATATTATTGCAATGCGGTGCAGAACTGTTTCCTATAAGAGAAACATTGAATTGTACCCGGATGATCCGTTCACCGCTTGTGTTGCACTTCGTCTGTCCTGCTGATATGATCCATTGTGCGATACGCTCCATATCTAGCGCCTTCACGAGATCCAGATGTGCTTCCAATAAATCCCAAATCTGGGCAGCATTGACGCTTTTCAGATCGAACTCTCCCCGCGGAATGCGAATATAGATTTGATGGCCGTCTTTTATGTAGCAGAACGAAACATTGGTCCAGACTATGCGCTGGCACCACGGTGCCAGGTTGAAGTAGGTGCAAGCTAGATCATCACAGTAATCTCCGAAACGGCGGTTGAAAGCACTGGTGATTGTCATGTCGCGGCGGTCAAACGCTAACTGATTAATGCGAGTGCCGGTGTGCTCCAGTACCTGTTGGATACAGTCGAGCATCGCATCGGTGATGCGTCGACGTCCCCATTTTTCACCATCGTCATCCGGGTGAACAAGGCCGCCCTGTATGCGGACTGTGCGGGTAATGGATGTAACGCACTTCCAAAAGCATGCGTATGCTTCATAAATGGACTGCTGACAGTTGTCAGTAGTATCAGACATTGACTGCTCTAGTTGTATCTGTACAACGACATCGCGGCAAAATTCCGGGGAACCTAGGATATCATTCCACAAGTGACAAGTGCGTCGGCAGCGCAGCCGGTTAATGGTGTCGAGTGACCGGAAGATTCCTTTCAAAAGCTCAGGAGGTAGTATCAGAGTGAGTTCGCCGGTGTCGGCTGCTTCATCATCATTTTGCAAATTTTGGATCTTTACACGATCTTCCGTTCTTTTCCTGTTGTCTTTATATCGTATCTCATCGCGAAGATGATAGAACACTTTCCACTACAAAAACGGGAACATAAACTAGAAGCGTAACACATATTGGCGTCACGTTGGTGGGATTATGCGAGTAATCCAAGTATGTATTGTTGTGTACGGTGATGACGCGTCTCTTGTGCAGTGCTAGTATATCAAGTTCGTACCTATTTTGTGTGCTGATTGTTATCACGCCCCTTATGTGCCTTGTCAACCAGTCAAAATCCGTTGACTGATATCACCATGAAAGCCAAAAGCATAAGCATTTACTACGTGCACGTGTCTGTCGCATTTGGCTGCCGCTGCAATATTGCTGTAATTTTTTGTAAATTTTTTTCTTCTTGTTCAGAGGTTGTTCTGTTTTGTTGTTGTTCGGTCAGCAGTAATAAAATAACCCCCTTTGTAACAGTGTAGCGTCTAACCCAAACAAGAATCAAAGCTGTACAGGGAGGTGATTATACAGCACACGATGCATTCGCGATACTATTAAGTTACTGCATCTTAACATCGGATAAACAGGAGGACTGGTGACCGGGGTCCACCGTACACTCATAGATCAGTTAGTAACAACAATGGGTCATAGTTTACAAGCAGCTGACACATCATGAAATTGTTTAATATACATGTACATTGGTAATACATTTTTAGCAACAGCCATAGAGCGAAGTAAAGTTCCACAAAATCGAAGCGCAAACAGCTGCATCGAAGGTCTCACTGTGGACCGATCTTCTTCAAATCGTGCACGTCTGCCGGAAATTCATACAAAATTTGTAGTTCGTTTTTGCAATCACACTTAACTTTTTTTACTTAACTTTTTTTTGTTCTGGCTTTTTTCAGTTGCGAAATTGGTTAAAAATTTATGATATTCATTTCAAAATTAGAAAGAAAAATGCCGTAACTTTAGTTCCACGTTAAAGTCCTCCAACCACGATCCTCAAACTGTCTTCATTTTCGCGCAGAATTTGAATGTCGGTCCTAATGAGGTTTTCTAGGTACATGTTTGACCTTCCAAAATTTCCTTAACCAAGCAACGCATAAACTTACTGCATCTCCATGTTCTTTGGGCATGATGTAACCATTGGGGCGATCAAGATAAGTCATCGTCTCACGGACGACCGATATAATAAACAGACTACATCGATGCTGTATCCTACAGCGCAGGCTCATGGCTTTCCATGGCTCCAAGGAGGACCAAAATCCTGCAGGGAAAGTGCACGATCTTATCACAAAATCAGCTGGACGAACGAGTTTCAACCGGGGTGCTGTGCCCGATTGCGTCCACCTTATTTGGCTCTCTGGAATCAGTTCTCGGATATTGCGATTTTCTTGAATCACTTCCACTACAGAGTAGTCGAACAGATCAGCAAGGTGTGCCATGAGGTTTTTGGCGGGGTACCATTTCCAAGGCTGGCTTGGATGGCCGCCGATCAGTGCCTCTACGGTGGGGTAAGTCTTCGCAGGAACGCTATCGTTGGTAAAACAATTTTTATCTCTTTTGTTCTGAAGAGAGCGCTGAAAAGCCTTCCCGTAATCAACTGGGACCGACCGTTGCGTCCAACATCCGAAATCCACAAGCAGACGCTGCAAGCAGCATCCGTTGTGTTCTAGGCCGATGACATAACCGTGTTGAAGAATACCATCCACTTCAACATCCACACCATTCCACTCGTATGCAGAGTGTTGCAGCTCGTTTTCCTTCAAATACAGAGACATGCTCACGTACTCCGGAAGCGACCATTCAGTTGTAACAAAAGTTCAAACTCTGCGATAATAATATTACTGGAGACTGGAGGTGGGCGCTATAGCTCAAAAGTGGAAAATGAAAACTTACCTGACTGCAAAATTCAGCCTCACGCCTTTTACACAGGCTTGTGGGCCTGTACCCGGCATACTGCATACGACTGATACTGCATATGTACTGCTTGCTTACTTGTTAGGTTAGCTTATCTACAAAGTACACTTGCGTTCATGCCGTTACCGGTTTGTTATTTCCTGGTGATCGACTTATCGTTCCGCTTATCGTGTGCTTGTCGCAATAAAGCATACCATTTACACCTGTACACGTACAAGTATCTGTATGCATCGCACGTAACAGAAGTTTCTTCTTCGCGCTCGGTGTAAACAATACAATACAAGAAAGCCCCTTGAGTACACGTTGAATGACCTAGATGAGTAGGATAATGTGTGACTCATACATGATATTATAAGATATCAAAGTCGAAGAATTATGAAAACACTTTTACTGAAATACAAGGAAAAGAGTTCACATTAATTTTTATATACAAATGCACTCGTACAAATGCAGAACACATGCACGTGCACTCGTACACATTTGAAAAAGAAAACACACCTCAACAAATCTAATAAGAGACCTGAAAATAACCATGGAACCTAACATGAGAAAAACTTGAGAAAACTAGATAATCTCAGAAAAGCTTTTATAGGCGTAGAACACCGCCGTTATTGCCAGCGTTATCATTCGAACTTAATCTCAGACAATCTGCAGGCAAATTTCGGGTAGCCGAAGTGGACCTCCCGTGGCTCCGGGAGCTGGGACTATTCCCCGTTACTGCTGTTTGGAAATGCGTTTTGTTTTGTTATTTTTTCAGAGTGTGCATCTTATGGCACCTGATGCTACCGGAACATCTCGTCACCGCCGACGTCTTACTCGTAGCTCATATATCAGCGAGAAAATATATTACAAGAATGTTACACAGAACCAGAACACCATCATCCATGCTTGGAAAACAGTGACCTCTACTTGGAATGATAAGTATCATCTCACCATGGTTTTGGACCAAATGATCACTAGCCGCACAAAAACGCTTACCCTTGTCGATCTTGCGGTTAACAGCAGCAGCACGGAATTCGAAAGACGCGCGAACACTGCAACGGAAGTGCTGCTTGCCAAAGGAATCAGAGTCCCCGTAATCATAGTTAGGAGCTGTTGGAATTGGCGTGCGGAGTTGGAAAAGAATACAGCGACAACTGGAAATTATGAATGCCAAAATTTTTCGAAACTAATGGCCGTTTGTGACCAGCTGCGGATAGTGAATCATAGTTTCAGCACCGGAACGTTTTTTTTTGTAAACTAACACTTATTTCTGGAGTCCCACAAATTATTCCACAGCCCGAAGGAGCTTTTGTGCGGGCATATTGCCACGACAGAAAAAGTCAGGCGGTTAAAATCGATCGTCTACGTCTACGCGCCGCGGAAACAACGGAGCAACACGTCCGACTTCTCTTATTGGCAGCTGATAACGCTTTTCCGCTTGTAAGCCAGTTCGTCTATGACAAAGTGACATACGTACACAATCGTGACATACGTACACAATCGTACACGTACGTACACAATCGGACATACGTACACAATCGTACAAAGTGACATACGTACACAATCGTTGGCTGCAAACCCTGGCTTACCCGGAAGAATGGGTCCCAGTCCGAAATTTCCTTAATCTGTGAGTAAAATAATGTTACCAAATCAAATAGTCTACAGAGCGCGTGATAACGAATTTTTTTTATTATTTGCTTCCTTCATTTCGTAATGGCAAACTGAAAGCACTTCGGATGGAGTATACCTCCTGCTTAACAGTCTATCAGTACGTTATGATGCTTGTTGCGGTAATCTGTGCATGCTAACAGGTTCAGCGGGTTTCACTCGGATGGAACTCCACAACGATGGGATGCACTGGATCTCCGGGAGTTAGACATATCCGCTTTAAGCAAAATAACTTTAGCGGCGTTAGATGAAATTTTCAAGGGCGCCGACGATGACTGAAATTTTTCTCCGTCTTGCCTTGCGGAACTAGTGATACTTGTTTCTGCTAAATTTCAGATACTTTACAAGTTGCTGTTTGCATCTTTCTGTTACTGTAAAATACTCGTACTGTAAAATACTGTGTGTTTTTTAAATACTGTGTGTAAAATACTTACCTTTGTGTTTTCGAGCACTCCAGAGCACTTTTCTGCATTGCTTTATTGCTAGCATTGCCAAAAGGTTTATTACGTTTCTTCAGGGAATTATAACCGACCGCATTAAGAAATCATTCAGAAACTCTAAGAAGTCTTAGAAATTGAAAGCATACACCCGGAATACGCATCACAACTTTGTTTTAGTATCCTGCATGTATTAATAAGTATTACGGTATTTCAATATCTCTGTTAATGTGGATATTGGAATTCCGGTTTATCCTACAGTACTTCCATAGTGCGTTTTCTGCGTCCTCCTGTTGCTTTTCATCAATTGCGTAGGTTCTTGTGGTTTTCAAAAAACTTACGGGATATACAACTGATGTGGAAAAACAAGAAAAAAAGAAACATGGCCGCGAAACAAGAAAAGGCAAAACAATGGAAATACCTGTATTCATAACGACCGTTGTACACTGTGCATCGTATCTGTATTCAAAATGGCAAATGTGCTGGCATATGACCCTTCAACGCTTGAGGCCGACGCGGTAAGATGGAATAAGTAGATTCAGTAGCCATCACAAATGTCGTAGAAGCATGATAGTGATGCTAGGATTATATTATTCAATCTTAAATAATCGTTTTCAGTGTTTAAAATTCGAAACTTTCATTAGTGTACTCCCGCTCAGGCGTATTATTATGTGTAATGTAATGGCAGATGCCGATACAGGGGAGAAGCGTTCCCATGAATTTCTGCGGCAAAGTTTGTCGTTGGCGATACAGCGGGGGAATCCGGCCTCAGTTTTGGGAACAATGGAAGGAGCAGAAAAGTTAAACGAAGTTTTAATGTTGTAAAATTGTGTTGTTTTTTTAATTACCTAATAATACAGATACATTGTACCACAGGTGAATAAAGCCACAAATGCCGATTGAAGATGTCTTAAATAATAGCATCGATAGCATTCATTTTGTGGTGCATTAACTGTTCATTTTGTGGTGCATTAAAATGTCCGGGGGGACAGGGGGGACATTTTTGCCGGTCACACACGGTCCCATCGACGTAATGTACGCAGAATCATACATATAGCACGGCGTGAACGTACAGTAGAAGTACTTCTACTTGAGATTACATTCAAGCTTCGAGATGCCGGGTAAATATAGGGCAATGCGGTTGATTACTGCCACAAGCCAAAAATATCGATCGGTGGGTGTTTGCCAACATCGTACCGCACATTCTCGCACAGCTTCGGTCTTGTTCACCGTACCGTATACGCGATTGCTCACGCCGACTACTTGGATCTTCATCTGGATGCCTCTTGCAGGCCCTGATTTTGTTGCAACTGCGGTCGTTTTAGTTTAGCCAACGCACAAGCGCAGCCACAGAATGCGACATACAGATACATACAGCACTTTTACATTGTTAACTGTTAAGCTCTGTTTCTTGAGTAATTCAACGGCATCTTTTTTCTTATAATTGTCCTTGTTTCGACAATTTAGTCGTATTGTGCAGGTGATTTTTACATTGTTATGCACAAGCGTGTTCCATTTGCTGCTGTGTTGTTGTCCCGCAGTAAATTCTGTGCACGTCAATTATGGATGAAACAGAAAGCGATTCCGACAGCTGCGAATCGCCGGAACCTGAGGAAACAGATCTCCGACCCTACAATACAGATTTCACCGTCAATCCGGAGAGCAACTTTGCCGTTAGAATGTTCAAGGCTGTGATCACATCGGCGAACACCATGGATGAGAATATCGTCGTCAGTCCCTATTCGGCAGAAATCATTCTGGCGGCACTCCTTCCCGGAACCAACGGTGCACTGCAGTCAGCCCTCACAGAATTATTATGCCAGAATGGAAGAGACTTTTCCGAGCTGATAAAAAATCTGGATGCCGTCAACACGGACGGCGCGCTGAATGCAGTTAACGCGGCATTTTATGATGACAACTGTCGCCTGTCTTCGCAATATCAGGATACGATTGACAGCGCCATGAAATTTGGGTTTGTCGAAACGCCATTTGCGATTTCTCCTAAGGAAGCACTGACGATGGTAAATAGTTTTGTTGCGGAGAAAACCGAAGGAAAAATAACCAAATTGCTGGAAGAAATCGATGATCACACGCTGTTAATTCTGGTGAATATCATTGATTTCTCCGGTCAATGGGAATTTCCGTTCGATGAAGAAGAAACCAAAAATGGGACATTTTATTGCGCGAACAATGTCGAGAAAACGGTTGACTTCATGAATAACCAAGATGCCAAAGTTCGCGCGTACAATATTTATGACTATTATAAAACGGCGGAGCAAAATGTTGAAGTCGGAGATCCGCGCATGATTATTCTCAACGTCGTTGAAAGAAAATTCAGCGTAATGTTGTTGTTGCCAGCAAAAGACACCGGTGGAATTAACAGTTTGCAGAAAGAACTGACTACTGAAAAGTTATTAAAGTGGCGCCAGAAAAGTTCCAAAGAAATGATTTACATTGTTGTACCGAAATTCCGTATTAGCTGCGGTGTTGACTTAATACCGGGCGCAAAAGCAATGGGTTTGCAGGAAATGTTTCAGCCGTCGGTGGTGAATTTTGACCGGATGTTTGATGAAGACTGTCGGGGGAAGCGTGTTGACCAGTTTCGACAGGAAGTGGCTATAGGTACCGACCGTACCGTCACTGGTTTACATATGTTCTCTGTTACAACTCTCGGTAACGCTCAGTTTTGGATGTACTTACAGAAATGAACGAATATGGCATCAAGGCATCGGCAGCGTCTTGTTCTTGCTCGAGCTATAGTTGTATTAAATTCCCGGATTTTCAGGCCGATCACCCGTTCTTGGTGATCCTCTGGAATGAGATCGCCAACGTTCCCGTTTTTATTGGACGCATTACGGAGCCGGATGAAACGGCTGACCCTGAGAATCAAGCGCTTGTATGGCCGCCATGGTTGCCCCAACCGCAGTCAACTTCCAAGTCATAACTTCCGGTTTAATGATGATCTTTTTATTGTACAGACATCCTTTAGTTAATACGGTCAATCACCATCGAATAAAATGCTCTTGATCTACCGAAGCCTTTTTTTAACTGACATAATACCAGAAGTTTAACACTTTTTCTTATTTTGAGATTCCAAGAAAGCCAAATCACAAAAACAACACGCGAGTTCGATAAATCAGTGCCAAAACTACTCTGTATAAACAAAAAAGGTTTCATCAATCTGAGAATACGTTCGATCCATAGTAGTACAGGATTTTAATTTGGCCATTTACCGGTGCCAATTTGTGTTTTCCGTAGAGGATAAAGAAAGACGGCTTCCGTTTTTTTAAGCTTTTTAATTTTTACATTCTTCATGTGTACTACGTCACCTCATTTTACTCGGGAGTCAGTCGGGACACATGCCATTATATTGGTATGCTTTACACGCAAACCTTACCTGTTTCTTTACTTTCAAAAAACCACAGCAGTTCTGCAGCTGGTCAGTTCACCGTCTTTTGGATTCTGGGTTTGTCGGTGCCCCTCCAGCCCGAGCGAGTAAAATTCGACTATGTTAGCTGTAGTTAAAACGCAATCTGTTTGCTAGATCGGTTGGTTGTAATGCGTACGTACTTGCTGTTAACAAGCCGGCAGCAAGCACATACAGATACACAAGAAACTGAATTCCCATAACATTATTTGATGAAACAACATAACTACCATTTTTTTAAAAACGATTAAGGGGGATCTGAGTTTCTTGCCTTTCAGTGATTTCCTTTCAACAGATTTTCTCGAGCGAAAATATCTTGAAGTTTACCAACAGACCAATGCCGTTTGGCTTTTCAGAAAGTGTAAGTAATAAGTGTAACGCTTCCGAAATCGCAACGCTTGTAACGCTTCGCGTACGGTTGCGAAGTTCCCAAGCACCATCCATCGTTATGGTTTGTAAAACTAGGAAAATGCATGTTAGCGTGCATTGGTAGACCGGAGCGCAGCTTACTTTTACACAGTGTAAACTTTATTATCCGAATCTATGCGCGTACTTATGTTTATTCTGAAGTTTGAGTCGAATTAAAGCATTAAATTAAAATAAGAAATCATTCGTGTTAATGTGCTGCAAAAGTGCACGTAATAGTAACAGTAATACATTTGTCTTTGTTGTGGTTTCGTGATTTTGTACTTGTAATATGTACGAGTATTAGACTATTAGTAGTGTTTGGTACTTAAAGCACCAATATAATTTTGTAATATAGCATATAATGTGTTTGTAATATGTAATAGTAATTTTTGGTACTTAACGTATTTGTAATATATAATAGTAATGTTTGGTACTTAACGTATTTGTAATATGTAATGTACTTGTAATATGAATTACAAGAAATCGTCTCGCCTTCACCTCCGTCCACGACCACTTCATGTGATTTCGAATGAATGTTTATTAGTATAACATCTGTATTTCGCCGAAACATGATTAGTACAGCGCAAAATGCAGATTTTCTATAACAATCAGTTCATGATTCTCTCAACCTCGAAAGCGTTCCCTTTGGTTGTACAGATAATTTTTATTTTATCACTGTACACGAAAACAAGCCTGAAGTCTCATTGTTAATAAGCACGGGTTAGTACTTTAATAAGTACAAAGGATCGTAATGAAAGGTCAGCCGTTTGGGAGATGATTATGGTCAAATAAGATAAAATTTTTTTTAGCAAAGTTATTAGTTAAATTAAAATGCATGTGACACGGTTTCAAATTGTGATGATCCGAGTGGCAATTTCAGTTTTCTCTATTTCTCTCTATTTTTTCTGATCCAGATGTTACGGGATTGTTGTAACTTGCAATATAGATCTTGTTCCTTGATTAGTGGTTTAGTACATAATTCTTATTAATTATTATTAGTTTTAGTACAGTACTTACTTATTAGATGACACACCGCGGTGCTCAGACGAAACTGCGCTTTAGTATCTATCCGTGTATAGATATTAACGATATCCGGTATACTCGTATATTAGAGAAGGTAATTACAAGTGTACACACCAATTACGGGTACATTACAGCAATCGCTCGTGAATTGTGCTACCCATGTAGAAGCAAATGGTCACCACGGTCTGTCCTGTCCAAGCAGCAAAGGAAGATGGTCACGACATCTGGATTCGTTTCGTCGGTAGAAAAATTCGTGATGTGACCGGGGAATCTCGCTCCACGGCTTTCCCAAGACAACGTTTGAGTCTGGCTGTTGTTAAAAAAAATGCGGCCGCAATCTTCGGTACACTAAATTCGCGGCCATAAGTCTGATATGATAGTAATAATTTTGGTTGTTTGATAGTAATGATTTTTGGTTTGTTGTAGGTTTTTTAAATATAGGCAACAGCCAAAGCACATATCGGTATGCTTTCACAGGTTCACACTAATTAAAATTAATAAAATTTAAACATTGATAAAACACATACTTCTACCCATAATCATTATTGTCGTTCAAGATCTTATGACGTGCACTCAGGGTGCCCAAAACAGCTGCTACGTTTCCTCTGACAACAGGCGAACTTAATCGCTGTCTTAAAAAGTCGTTGATCTAGGCTCTCCTGTAGCGTCACGGATCTTTCGGCCAGCAAAACGAATCAGTTCCGCAAACGACGTTCCAAAGGTTCCAAACGTCTCGACCGCCAGAGCGTAGAAAAAATAGCCCAAACCCTTGACGAAAGCCTACTTCCGCCACTTGCTGTTTTCGGCCAGTTGCGTGACACTCCCGGCTTTCAAACGAGCTGGCACGTACATGAGACACGGCCACAGTATCCCAGCAAGTTGCATCCCATACCACGGCCTTACCATCGCGCACATGGTTTGTTGTTGCTTAATGTATAAACTGAAACTTCTTGTTAGTGTCTATAAGTATGCGCAGGCTTGTTGTTACCCTGAATAACGATCACATTTCGCTCGTATTATACGTAGCTAATAGCAGGAACTTACTATAGCTAGAGTAAGTACTTGTTAATAGCCATGTACAGGCAAATGATTATCGCATTACGATCAGCTGACGTGAAAGGGGTGACGTCATAGCCGATTGTTAATAATGGCGTCATCGGGGCTTTTTTTGGGACAAACAGACACATGGACAGACAGACACTTTTTCGTTTTTGCTGAATTAGAGGACCTTTGCTGCGCTCCGGTCGATTAATTTAATATCATTGACACAAAAAATTTTTGATGTGATTGTTATTATTCTGTTGATGGCATCAACATGCATCCGGTTAGCTTTACACAACCGGAGCTGAATGTTACTGTAATCCCCCCTTTGTTATAGTCTACGAGCCTAACCGTTTCCTTACAGATTGTATGTTGTTGATAAGGGTATTTTATCAAGAAGTATATTCTAGGATAGGTTTCACTGTAGGCTCTTATCAAAAAAAAGTAAAAACTGAATACGGACCCGTTATCTTCGCCATTCGTGAGCATTCTCGGCAAATCTCGGTGCTGTCACAAAATATAGTCACTCAACGTTTGTGCTTGATAGTGAGTATCTTATCTTTCGCAATGTTGGACAACGTTTGTTCGCAAGAAATCCTCTAAATCTGCGAGATATAATCGACCAGGTTATAATCTTAGCGTTAACTGCTACGCTATAGTAAGCGAAAGTTATACTGGGCGCAAGTGGAACTTACTATGAATATGATCAAATACTAAATGCACAATTTTTATAAACCGGCCCGCTCGTAAAATGCATTTGTACGAAGACGAATATAGGTCCCTTTATGGATTTAATGCTGTCGATGTGGAGGTCGACGGGCTGTTGCAGCACGGCCATGTTACTGATGTTTCAGATAGCGAGGAAACTCCACAACGTCTACCTGTCGACTTCGGATGCGCGAATAAGGAACCAGAACTGGTTGAATGCGGAAAGATATACGGCTGTCCAATAGATTTTTTCGCCAGCGGCAATCCCAACGACATCTACCAGGGAGAATGGTATAAGAAATGGGAAGACGCCTCCGCAGCCTCAGCACCGGATGTTGAGCCACTACTGCGCAATCATCCCGATTATCCCTGGAAATGGTACCCGGGCAAAGTTGTTCGCTGTCTCACGCTTCAATTTGCGCGAGATTACGCCCTGGTAGATATCATGGTTGCTGGGCGAAGTGTCCGCGAACTGCTTCCCTTCAAACAGGTACGACTATTTCAGCGGGAGAGGAGCTGCAAAGCAGAAGGCTTTTGCCGGGCCATTTCTCCATTGAAGTGACATCGGGCCAGAGAGTCGGCGTCGTGTCGTGCAGTACTAACGGTCAATGCGGCACTGGTAAATGGCTGCCGATTCTGCAACTCACGGTCTTTAACATGGTGTGGTACGCTCTGCTCATGTTTTTGTAGAGTGCTCGTGATGCTGAAGCGAAGAATGAAGGACCAAATAGTTCGGGTAAAGCGCATAAGAAACTGAAACCAAACCCCAAAGTCGACCCCGAAGAAGAAGGTTTATTGTTGCCGGTAGAACTCCTTCAGGAAATATTTCTGTCGCTCAACACCATCAACCGGCAGCGCTGTCGACGCGTCTGTGCACTATGGGATGAGGTTATGCATTCCCCGCAACAATGCGCGGACATTCGTTTGAGCTTCTTGGCGCTTAGTACAAATCCATCGAAGGCTGGAATCCACAGAGTTTCTACGCGGTCTACCGTCTAATGCTTAATGGTTTTCACCTGTCCTACGTACCATCTCTGTGGAAAAAGTTTATCGCGATGACAAAGAGGAAAGACTGACTTTTGAAGTGGGCCGTTCCTTGCCGTATGGTCCCGATCCGGCGCTTAGGTTTCTGTTTAAACCGTTTTTAGACGAAGCTGGCGTGTGCATTGATCGCTTCGTCCTACGCCGGCGACAGCGAAACACAATATTCTCCGGCCATTTTTTGGCTTATTGGTTTGACGACATGGCTGAATCGTTTGCCGTGTCTGCCTCCTGCTGTAGGCGTATAATCTGGGCTGATTGTTCGATGACTTTTACCGTCCGCGATGAGGGGACGTTCGCTTTCTCAAGCTTTACGGACGAGAGGATTCTGACTATGCAGTTTCATTTTCCTCTAGCAGTTTTTAAT